GCTCTTCGAGAGCCGAAAGAGCGATAGCCTCTTAGAAATTTATTAATTTAACCTTTTAGTGAAGCCGAGTGTTCTGTTACAACAGAGAAACAATCTCAAAAATTACAACTTTGGCCCCTACATTCAGTTTTTCAAATATAAACAGTTGGAATTCAATTTGCCAAACAGCAAGATTTTTAATTTTTAAAATCAAGAAGTTCATAAGTTTCACACAGAAAATTAAAGAGAATGGAAAAACAGTGTTGATAAATGGCATCCTCCGTCATCTGCTAAACGATGCGGAGCAGTTCGTACAACAGTCTTCAGAGGATTTGTTAAAATAAATATATCTTATACAAATGGTGTGCTTTGAATATCAGCTCTAACCAAAGTTTCAGAGATCTATCAAAAAATACAATCACTTTATTAAAATTATGCATTTAGCAGTAATTAGAATTGTCTTAATCAATCAAAAAATTAATTCCGATGCTCCTCGGTGAAGGTTTTAAATGAATTATGAGGTTCAGCATTAATAATTGATAGTAAAATATAACAGGATAAAAGAAATTAATAGTAAGATTTGAATATATACTCTTACAGAAGAGCATAAATTTGCATATTTTATGCAAAAGGAGCACAAATTTCTATATTTTCATCCAGAAATTGTAAAAATTTATGCTCCTTTTGCATAAAAGGTAGCAATTTTCATCCAGAAATTGCTACCTTTTATGCAAAAGGAGCATAAATCCAAAAATTTTGACAGCCACAAGTGTATTTTCCCTCACACCATGCACTTTTTCAAGTAAAAAAAATAAAATAAACACAATTCCAAAAGAAAAACACTTATCCAACTGTTTACTCATTAAAAAGCACACTAAATGAATAATTTCAAAAGGATCCCAAGCCAGGAAATGACAATTTTAACACCTTACCTACCCAATTACCAGCAGTAGTTTGCATCACACACCACACACACACACAGTACATTAAACTCACCTCTTGTTTTGTACTCCGCCAATACAGGAACTAACCCATCTCAGCAGACAACAGAAACTCATTATTGACCCAGATTCTTCATTTTGTCAGTTTCCAGACCAGAAGCCTCCAGAAAATAGAGAATATTCTCTCTCTCTCTCTCTCTCTTCCTCTTATAACAAGCTCATATATAACTGGGTCGATTTGCCACAGGAGACTACTTTACACACAATAGATTTATCCTTCTCCCTTCACAGCTAGCTAAACACTGACTAAACTGATGAAGAAACAGCCAATCAGACGATTTATTGATCCGAATACAACAGCTACAACGACTCCTGAGAACCAACAGATCGGAAACAACACAATCCACCATCTTGCCGCCTTCCACAACGTTTGTCTACCCCTTTCGCCGCTGACGTCACTTTATATCGACCGGTTTCATTGGCCGGCCGACGCGCGAGACGTCGCCTTCCTCCAATGGCGCGCGCGGTAACGCGTTAATTGTCGCAACCGCCGTTTTTTCCCCCCTCGCCCCTCGATGTAACGCGGTTTATCATTCGGCGACGGAAGGGGGGAGCGCTTAAATTAACGAATTAAATCTTTTTTCGTCTCTCTCTCTCTTTTTTTTTGGCAGTCTCCAGCGCTTCTCCGCAACGCCTTTTCCCGCCGGAATTTTAGGGGTTTTTTTTCGGGGGGTGATCGATTTCTGCGTCACGCGGCACGAATAATTGATGACAGCGCGTGAAATTAACGCCGGAAAAGTGAATTAAACTTACTGGAATCAATTAGAGGCGTGGGTTCGTCCGGCGGTTCCACCGACGACGCTGGCAAAGTGTAAAGACATTTCGGACCCAGACGGATCGACCGGATTCGGTCATTTCCAATACAAGGTCATCGAACTAGTCACGTGACCGCGCGCTCCCTCTCACGTTTCCTCTCTAAATTAATTTAAATCCGTCACCAACTTTCTCGGGTGGTCGAAGGAGAATCGTCCGGCCAATCCGTTCCGCTCCTGGCATTGTTACACGTCACGCGGCCGACTCCCTACAAGCCCGGCTTATCACGTGCCTGTTTCTTTTTTTTTTTTTTACTTCCCCGCGTGCTTATTTTCTCATTTTCAAGGTTTCTCTTACGTCTAAAAGCCGCCGCCGAAACAGGATTTGTATCGAGCGGCCGGCCCCTGTAAATGATACTTCTCCTGTTGAGTCGGCGCTATGCGGGAAAGCACCCCCGCCGCTTTCCCACGTTTTTAACGTTTTCCGAGGATGCGGGTGGAGCGATTACTTAAATTTATGCCTGGAAAAACAAAAAATGAACGCTGTCTGCAGCTTAAACAGTGATTTTATCGAATTTATAATACGTAATTAATTACGATTCTCTCTTTAAATACATACGCAATTTCCTGTTTGTTTCTTTGATTGATTGGTGTAGGGGTTGTCTATAAAATAAAAGGAAATACCACGTATTGTAGGCCACGTGGTGTTTCTAAATCTTAAATTTATCCTACAATTAAAACTTTACACACCATCATAAATGCTATAAAAATCGCATTTTTATACAGGGTGGACCAAAAGCCAGTTAACCGCGTTATTTCGCACTCGTTCCGGTTTTCTTTCCTCTTACAACGTCAGTTCGGTCTCTGCGAAGGTCAACCGACTTTCGGGCCACCCCCTCTGACGTACGGATATAGAAATATAAAGCAAAGCAACCGAGTTACTCTTACGAACTGATGATTCGTTGCACGAGACGATCTATCAATATAATTGTTTCGCGAGAAACAAGAGACGTTACGCCACAGGAAACACAAGAAAATTATGCAAATTTCTCGGAAAAGAGGGGGGAGGAGTTCCCACTACTCCGAAGCTCTCTACCAATCGGAATTGATCTGACGTATGCCAATTTAAACGCGACTCACCTGTGTACAAACAAATAGCACGTGCGGTAGGGTGGTAGGGTCACGGTCATCTGCCTTAACGGACAATGCACCTCGCCTAAAGATTGCAACACCGTAACACACACTCGTATAGCTTGTTGCTATAGGAACACAAAAGATACAATCCACTCATTGGGGGGGACGTAAGGTCATTGTCCTTAATAAACGGGTTGTAGGTGATGTTTGAATGGCGTCACAAGTAAAAACGTGTTTAATCACGCGTGTAAACGTTCCGTTTCGAGTCTGCTGCATAAAGAGGCGTAACGATTTTCCATCAGCAGTTCGAGGGGGAGAGGGAGGAAATTCTAACTTTCCACGTAACAGCTGTATCGCTTGTGTAATGGTGTTACCGAGAAATACAGCGATAGAAGAACCGATTCGTAAATTTACCAATCAGTTTCTGTAAAACGATCCGTTACTCTGTTACGTTGATTTTTTCTTCTATTATGTGAAATTACGCGCGTTTTGAGTTGTCGTAACGATGTTACATATTGTACTGTACGTAACAAATGCGCGTAACTTACAAGGGAACTGTCGGAGTGTCTTCTAATAAATTTTAACAAAATTTAGTTAATAACTACGTTAAAAGTATACAAACTATATTTTAAATTTCTAGCATTCACTAAAAGTGTTGATCAGAGTTATTAGCAATCAAATGTTGCACTACTTTATAGTAGTTTAACACAATTACGCAAATTTTTAGAAGTGAAAGGGCCGCGGAGGAAGACGGCGATATTACATTTAGAATAAATTCTGGAATTTTCAAAAATGGTTGAAGAATTAATAAAATTTTGTATACTTTTAACATAATTATTAACTAAATTTTATTAATTCTTCTCCCATTTTTGAAAATTCCAGAATTTATTCTAAATGTAATATCGCCGTCTTCCTCCGCGACCCTTTCACTTCTAAAAATTTGCATAATTGTGTTAAACTACTATAAAGTAGTGCAACATTTGATTGCTAATAACTCTGATCAACACTTTTAGTGAATGCTACAAATTTAAAATAGAGTTTGTATACTTTTAACGTAGTTATTAACTAAATTTTATTAAAATTTATTAGAAGACACTCCGACAGTTTCCTTGTTAGAGTTGAGGAAATATACAAAATTATTAATTTTTTTTTTTCGATTTTCTGAGCGAATAAAACCTCTGAAAAACCCATTTTATTCAAATAAACCCCCTATCTTTTTAAAAAAATAATTTATAAAAATTATTTCCCGAAATAATCCCTAACTTCCCCCTGTTTTTTTATATGAAACCTTCAATTTCCCCCCTTAGAAACCTCTAAAAATCCGTTTTTCAACCTTCAAAAAAAACCATTTTTTACGAGTTATTTTTTCAAAATAATTCTTTAAGAAATATTTCAAAAACCCTCCAAAAAGCCTTGTAAAAAAGAAAAATCCTGTTTTATCAAACCTCCATAAAACCATTTTATTTTATTTTTTTTAAAAACAAAAAACCTCCACAAATCTTTTTCCCCTGCAAATTTCTAAAAATTTTATTTAGAAACCCCCTGCAAACCTCTAAAAAATATTTAGAAATTTTATGATTTTTTTTTTAATTTCAAAAGAAACCCTAAAAACTTTTTCAGAAGAGAAACCCTAAAAATCTTGTTTACAAAGAAATTTCAAAAGAAAAAAAAAAACCCTGTCCATCAGTAGAATTCCTCAAGATCCCCTAAAGAAAACCCCCAAAAATTTCGTTTACAATTTTAATCACCGTTTCGGACGACGATTCCACTACAAAAAAAACCACGTGTTTACGCAGGAAACAATGGATTTCGGGGAGAAAATTGGGAGGATACCCCGAACTTTCTAGTGGCGTCTTCTCAATTGTACCCACCGAACTACAGCACATTCCCTACGTAGGAGCGTGTCACGATAGGGGAATAAGGAATATTTCGGAAAACGGGAAAAGTCACGAGCGCGTACCGGTGTGCTCTCGAACACCCCACCCACCCTCTAGACGTGGTTCGGTCCCACCACCTCTCCGACTGCGGGTTATTATTTAACATCAGCATCCATGATCTCCCGCATCACCTCCGCATCCGGAACGGAATCTAAATACTAAAACCACCCCTCCAATTAAACCAAAAGGTTCCATACCTGATTGTGTCTCTTGTACATGATTCTCCTATCTTCCGATAGAACGAACGAACGAACGAGAGGAGGGGGTTGTTTAGGTAGACATTTTTATAGGACTCTTACACACGGATTTCTTGTTAAATCCCCCCTCTCTCCTGTGTTTCACCGGTTAAGCGGCGGAACATTCAAAAATCTGAACGCGAAACCGTGCAAACATGGCTCGAGCCATCTACTCGGAACCGGAAGTTTCTTCGATCTGTCACTCCAGGGATTTTATTGATCCGTCCTCCGTTCTACGTTGCAAGGTCGTTCACCTCTTTCGCTTCATCTCGCCGAAAGGATCCGAACCTTCCTTCCTTAATATTGTTTAATCTTTCCCTCCCCCTGCGGATCGTGTTTCGTCCGTCGAAACGAGATTTGTGTGTAATTTAGCGTTGTTTCGGAGGGGGCGTTTTTTTTTATAGCTGTTTACGAGTTAAATTCGAGTCCGTTTGCCGCATTCCAACACGAAATTAGCCTTTGGCGTGGGTTCGAACCGACTTTTTGTCTTCGTAGAATAAAAGGGATCGCGTTAAACGTGTACATGGACCGAACCCACGTCTTCTTCTTCTTCCAGACTACGTTATTTGCGGGAAATACCCCGAAAATCTTTTAAAATATATGTAGATTTGATCCGTAATACGGGTCCGAACCAATTCTTATATCAAGGACTTAAAAAAAATAAGTGATTAAAGGCGTGGGTTCGATTCTTTCTCGAAATCAGAAGCGTTTTTCTGTATGGATTTTCTTGGGAGAACGTAATTTATAACCCATTCAAACTGTACGTATTGGGGCCTTGGAGAAGACTTTCATCGCGTGGTGAAAGACAATAACGAAGGCCCCGTTATTCTTATTAGCGCCCTGTGTGTATATACTTATAAGAGGCCTCTGAAACAAGGGGGAAAAAAGATAAGAATTTCATTAAAAAAACACCGTAAAATATTTTTAAAATTTTAACATATTTTAACTAAAGAGCAAAGGCCCCACGGAGCATAAAAGAAGGCCAAAACGAAGGTCGAAACCAAAAGGGCAAAGGCCCCACAAAGCATAAAAGACTTTTTTTTGGTGTTTACAGAGTAGAAATATTCCATGAAAGCTAGTGTCGAGGCGAATGACATTCAGACAAACAATCAATATATAAAGTCGAAAAACTTTCCCGAAAAAGTAAATAATGGGGTAGACATGGCGACCATAACAATGGGGAGGCAACTATCGAACACGCAAATTCAATTTTCTTTCATTAATAATGTCCATTTTATGGTAATTATCGAGATCAACGATCTCTTAAATATACACACACATCAAAATATGCAAATTATTCGTATATTAATTACAGTATTTTTTTAAATAACTTACGTACAGACAACCGGACGGACGAATAAAATAAATACAATTTTACCTATTCGATTGGCTGCTTCTGAAACGTTAAAGATGAAATTCTTCCTTCGTTTTCAGTGATGGATTATTAAAGCATCGAGGGCCCTACAGCTTGTGCTTGGGCCTACGATGGAGGATCGCGGTCTACGGGTTGATAAGATAGTGATTTTATTTTATTTTTTTTTTTTAGGAACCATTGAGGCGAATTTCAGGCAGATCGATACGTAAGCCGGATAACCTTGTTAAGAAAGGACAAGTGGACTACTCGAGTGTGTGACACTCGCAGTCGATAACCCACTTCACAGCCATCCTCTCGAAACTACTTTCAGGAGGATCGGATTTCCAAGACATTAAAGGGGTGGCCCAAAAGTCGGCTAACCGAGTTACATTCGAGGAATGTACATTGCGGTCGACTGACTTTTGGAACACCCTACCGTATACAGATTTATGCGCATTTGTTTATGATTACGTATTATAATCCAGGCTCGAGGTGAGGTGGGGCCTCTTCGGATCCGTTATAGCTACGGGGCCTTATCGAAATGTTCCAAAAAAGGCATAATAAAATAAGTCAGACATTTGCCTTTACGTTAAAAAGGAATTGAGATTTTAGGGCCTAACGTAGAGGGGCCCGACTCTAATGGCCCTTCTTACGTTTAGAGCTTTTTATGATTGTATATTGTTAAGGCACCTTCTAATACCGTAAAAAAATGTAAGAAGGATTGCATAAAAGGTATTTTTAACCGAGGCATAGGGCATAACACGATAATACTTCGAAAGTAAAGGCATAATCGCACTTTAAAGGGCAGAATACAAGATGTATTTGCTAAAGGCAGTTTTTAAAGGCACTAATAAAGCACAAGGCATAAACACTCCAAAGAATGAATTCCACTTCAACGGGCATACAAGATTCGTGCGCATAAAGGGCCTTTTTTTAGAGGCATCCCGCACGAGGAACTTTCCCACCCCAATAAAATGCAATTAAGCGAATAAGAAATGAGTTAATTCCGACATAACTCAGTTGAAATGATAACTAAACGCGCCATTTTATCCATAATTAATTAGCATACGTGCATAATTAATGCCCGTCACGTGACCCGAACGACTAAAAAATTAGGTCGTTCATCTAAATTTACATATAATTGGTCATAATGATGATGAAACGATGACGTAAGACCTGATCTTTCAATTAAATAACCGCTTTCACTTCGACTATAATCATGGAAATTTCTCTTCAATTATTAGAAAAATAAAATAAAAAAATTAGTTTTTCGATCGTTTGTTTGTCTGTCCGCAAGATTTCTAGGAAACTGGAAGTAACTATAGATTTGGTCTTTATTTTTATACATTTATTATTGGCCCGGCTGGCTGTCTGCACGTTTTCTTGGTAACTAAAGTGATTGGAAAAGTCCGTCTAAATGTCTGTCCGCAAAATTTAATGGAAATTATATAAATTAGTGTATTAAGATATTTAAAACCAAACAAACAAAGACTGTAAAATTGATTTAAATCCTTTGGCGATTAATCAAGAAAAATAATAACGATCGATTCACGTTAAAGTTATGATCGATCATCATCAATCAGGATTTTTCATGTTTTCTCTTAAGTTTATCTAAATCCTACTCGATGTTCATCTATCACTTTAAATGACTTAAAAGAAAAGGGCTTACGTTAATGTTCGATCCGTCTGGATGTCGGCACGCTTTCGAATAAATATCGCGAAAACGGTTGCAGATACAAGCTTGAAATTTTCAGGATAGCTTCAATGATCTTAGATAAATCCTTCGGGCGAATTTGATCGCGATCGAAGCATTACGAACGCTCGTTTGTCCGGTTGTCTGTCGTTATGTCTTTAGTAAATATCTCGATAATGGTTCGAGATAAATGCTCGAAATTTTCAGGATATCTTTAATGTTCTGTAGTGCTGCGTTGAGCCAAGTTTGAGCAGGATCGAAGTATAAAATACGTCTGTTTGCCTGTCCGTTCGTTCGTGCGCTTTCGTGAAATATCTCGAAAACTGTTCGAGATCGAAAGTTGAAATTTTCAATGTATTTTCAAACACGAAAAATGTAATTTCGCCTTAAATTTCATTGAAATCGAAGCATTTCCAACGTCTTAATTTCGAAAAAGAAATCATTTAGACAAGTACAAAAATCCATTAACAACACCGAGTTAATCTCGCTTACTTATAAAATTGTGAAAAACGTATGAAAAATGGCTTCCAAAGAATAAAATAACGGGTAGAATTTCGTAATAATATACACGAGTGAAATTCTAAACTAATTTAAATACGTTTCAAAGTTCGCCCTTCTCGATTTATCGCTTCTCTTCATAAATTCTATGAAATTTTTTTAAATGAAAACTTTCGAATATTCTCAAATTTATTAAATACTTTACAACTGAAAATCTTGATTTACAGTGGTGAAATGTGAAAAAGGCCCTCTTGGTTCCCCGTGCACACTAAAAGAGGGCCTTTTCACCAGGCCCACACGGCGAGAGACGGCCACGACACCGAGACAAATCGCTCATGAAAAGTTTTCGGGGATTCGATCCCGGATCCCCCAGAGCGTTAGACTTTTTATAATTTAAAATAATGCTAATAATTTTATATATATTTTTTCTTTTTTTTAGGAATAGGCAGATGGCGCTTTAAATTATCGTTCGATCGCTGTTATATTGTATAGCGTAAAGGGTCGAAGTTGAAAACCTCTTAGCGCGTGAAATATTTGACATTTTCGAATTTTTGAAATATTTTGGCAACGTATTCGTCACTCCTTTTCCATTGCGCCATCTCGTTTCTATTCAGAAATTTTACTTCTATTGAAACTTCGCAGTTGAAGTCTACGCGACACGCTTTAGTGCATCATTTTTAATTCCACTCGCATAATAATCCGTAATTAATATGCAGTCGAAATTTTGAATGATTTTTGCATTTATAAAGTTAAATAGACATGCTGCATCCTTCATTAATTGACTTCCATCGTCGGATAGCGGTTAAGATGACAGCCTACCGCTCTGGGGGAGCCGGAATCGAATCCAGACGAGTCGCAAAAACTGCAAATTTTCGGGGAGGCCGAACCCATAATGGTTCGGTTTTGCTTAAAAGGCCATCTTAGTAAAAACGGGACTTTTAAAAAAGCCTCCATCGACATATTAGAATAATCGCGAAAAAAAACTCTTCAATATGGCGCTCCTCTGTACAATATCGAAGTATTGTTACAAGCTTTGAAGGGGTTTAACGAATACTTTTTATCCTTTTCTTCCAATATATTCGGTCGCATTATATGGCATTTTTATGGGGATTTGAAAAACACACCGTGTGATTGACCTCCATAAAAACTCTGTAAATCGATAAAAATATCTTGATCGCTCGTTTAAGGGGACAATTTTACGTTGTAAAAACTGCTTGACACGCCCTAATTTTAACGCTGATTTCAGACCCCTAAAACGTAGAAAAAATCGCTCTCTCTCTCAATTTTTAATGCGCTTGCAACGCGATATATTGATTCGTTAAAATAATTTTTTAAATATTAACAAGATTAGACACGTTGTAACATGTTTAATATTGTTAATATTATAGTTTAGTTGCGGCAGATAACCTTCAAATGCATAAATATGAAATTTATACAGTGAAAGTAACGAAAATCGATAGTAACTACTACTTTTTTTCCGTAGGAATTAATTTAAAATCGATTTTTGTTGATCCCATCTTCTAGTCTAGTGGAAGATTGGGGGATAAACTTCCACTAGAGTAGAAGATAGTGTGATGGATGTGATGGAGTAGAAGATATCCGGGCTATAAAGATGTAGGAAGTAGGCCCTAGCTGACAGAACAGTTTCTCTCGGATCTCGGCACTGGTGGGCCCCAAAATTTAGCTTTCTGTGTAAAAATATTAATAACTTTTGGAGTGGGATAGAGGCCCAATAGTTACTCTCTTGCGCAAACGTTTTTTAATTAAGAAGGGTCTAAAAGTTTATTGTTTATATAAAAAATGTGACTTTCGGGGGAATTTATGTCTTAAAATTTAGTTTTTACTGTAAAGAAATGGCTTCCGGAGAGGAGTAGAGGCCCTAAAATTTAGTCTTCGAAGAGGAGAGAGGGTACCGTAGTCAGTGATTCCTACATAGGGTTTTTCCCCTAAATATGAAGGAAAATCAGAAGAATGGAGGGTAATTTAGAGGAAAAATGTCTATATATAGTGATTAGTGAAGCGCCGAATAGGAGCATTCAGTTTTTAAAGAGAACTCTATTAATTTCAGGGGAAATTTCAGATGTTTAGGGGTTTTTACGATAGACGGTTGGCAACACTGACTGTATTTGTAAGAAACCCGAGCCCAACCAGAAAATTTATTAAAATATTGATTGATTGAATATATTCTTTAAACTGGAACATCAAAAGATCCTAAATATGCATCCATAAAAATAATAAAAATGGGAAATGGATACGAAATGATTTAAAACGTGACCCTAATAGCTATGAACGAACTTTTATAAGAACGTAAGATAAAATTTTCGTCATTAACTTTTATGTTACGGCACTAAAACGTTCGACAAATGAAAGAACTTTTGATCTAAAATCTATTAAGGTTAACACATAAGGTCGAAAATGGCGGAACTTTATCTAGTCCACGTGATAAATAGGTAACATCGCTTTAAGTGTTGCCATCAATCTCATAAAATATTAATTTAGCCTAATTAATGCACGAATGGTTTTAATGAAAGTGGTAAATTCTAACATTTTAACAAGATTTAAGCATAAAACAAAATTAATAAATAATAAATTATGACATAAAATAAAATAATTGACGTTTTTTAATTAATTTAATATCAATATTTTTTTTNGGGTTCGATTCTTTCTCGAAATCAGAAGCGTTTTTCTGTATGGATTTTCTTGGGAGAACGTAATTTATAACCCATTCAAACTGTACGTATTGGGGCCTTGGAGAAGACTTTCATCGCGTGGTGAAAGACAATAACGAAGGCCCCGTTATTCTTATTAGCGCCCTGTGTGTATATACTTATAAGAGGCCTCTGAAACAAGGGGGAAAAAAGATAAGAATTTCATTAAAAAAACACCGTAAAATATTTTTAAAATTTTAACATATTTTAACTAAAGAGCAAAGGCCCCACGGAGCATAAAAGAAGGCCAAAACGAAGGTCGAAACCAAAAGGGCAAAGGCCCCACAAAGCATAAAAGACTTTTTTTTGGTGTTTACAGAGTAGAAATATTCCATGAAAGCTAGTGTCGAGGCGAATGACATTCAGACAAACAATCAATATATAAAGTCGAAAAACTTTCCCGAAAAAGTAAATAATGGGGTAGACATGGCGACCATAACAATGGGGAGGCAACTATCGAACACGCAAATTCAATTTTCTTTCATTAATAATGTCCATTTTATGGTAATTATCGAGATCAACGATCTCTTAAATATACACACACATCAAAATATGCAAATTATTCGTATATTAATTACAGTATTTTTTTAAATAACTTACGTACAGACAACCGGACGGACGAATAAAATAAATACAATTTTACCTATTCGATTGGCTGCTTCTGAAACGTTAAAGATGAAATTCTTCCTTCGTTTTCAGTGATGGATTATTAAAGCATCGAGGGCCCTACAGCTTGTGCTTGGGCCTACGATGGAGGATCGCGGTCTACGGGTTGATAAGATAGTGATTTTATTTTATTTTTTTTTTTTTTAGGAACCATTGAGGCGAATTTCAGGCAGATCGATACGTAAGCCGGATAACCTTGTTAAGAAAGGACAAGTGGACTACTCGAGTGTGTGACACTCGCAGTCGATAACCCACTTCACAGCCATCCTCTCGAAACTACTTTCAGGAGGATCGGATTTCCAAGACATTAAAGGGGTGGCCCAAAAGTCGGCTAACCGAGTTACATTCGAGGAATGTACATTGCGGTCGACTGACTTTTGGAACACCCTACCGTATACAGATTTATGCGCATTTGTTTATGATTACGTATTATAATCCAGGCTCGAGGTGAGGTGGGGCCTCTTCGGATCCGTTATAGCTACGGGGCCTTATCGAAATGTTCCAAAAAAGGCATAATAAAATAAGTCAGACATTTGCCTTTACGTTAAAAAGGAATTGAGATTTTAGGGCCTAACGTAGAGGGGCCCGACTCTAATGGCCCTTCTTACGTTTAGAGCTTTTTATGATTGTATATTGTTAAGGCACCTTCTAATACCGTAAAAAAATGTAAGAAGGATTGCATAAAAGGTATTTTTAACCGAGGCATAGGGCATAACACGATAATACTTCGAAAGTAAAGGCATAATCGCACTTTAAAGGGCAGAATACAAGATGTATTTGCTAAAGGCAGTTTTTAAAGGCACTAATAAAGCACAAGGCATAAACACTCCAAAGAATGAATTCCACTTCAACGGGCATACAAGATTCGTGCGCATAAAGGGCCTTTTTTTAGAGGCATCCCGCACGAGGAACTTTCCCACCCCAATAAAATGCAATTAAGCGAATAAGAAATGAGTTAATTCCGACATAACTCAGTTGAAATGATAACTAAACGCGCCATTTTATCCATAATTAATTAGCATACGTGCATAATTAATGCCCGTCACGTGACCCGAACGACTAAAAAATTAGGTCGTTCATCT